AATAGTAATCTTCAGTTTTTACTCTTGAAAACTAAGAGAATGTCCATCAAACTCCCAAAGAGGAGAAAGAATATGTGGAGAGAGGAATATGGAGGAAAGAACGAAGCAGCAGGACATGGAATTCGTGGAGATAGGCATGTCTATCCAATTAGAGCGCAGGAAATGTTTCTGCTCTTCCTAAAGAGTTTGGGTAGTCCTGTCTGAGAGACTTAATGCTTGTTTTGGGAGACGTGTGCATTTAGGACAACAGACATGCCGGTAACTCCAGCTGCAGAGGAGGCTGAAGTAGACAAGCCCATGGCTATACCCTAGGTGTGTTTTATATGCCTCCCTCCATCCTGCAAACAGTATTGCCCTTCTATGAGACCTGGGATGGCAATGGACACTACTTCTGATACTACTGAAGGTCCTCTCTGCATCTGTACTTTTCTCAGACTTTGGGAAATACACAAAGAGAAGTAGAGTTGAGGACCCTACTTCAGTTCCCACTTCTGTAACTGGTCAGGAAGCCCAACTTGGTCATCATAGCTGCCTTCTCCCCATCCTTTCTATGTTGTCTCTACCCACTGCCAGCAACTCAGTCAGGTAGGCTTTTATCTGATGGGATGACCAAACTTTCAATCTGGGATAATCTGAGTGTTTGATAGCCTTGGCCTTACTGTGTTGCCTCAGTTTTCCAGTGCCAGAGATTATTGGGAAAGGGAGTGTGGAGCTTGGATTAAAAGGCAGATACAGACTTAAATTTGAAAGGTTAAGAAAGGTACGCAAAGGAAGCATTAATGACTAAAATAAGTATTTTACCCGAAAGTTGAACCTGAGTCTGATCATGCTTCTAAGTTTAACTAATAATTTGCTGGTAAATACAGGAAAAAAGGCCCTGATGTTTTTAATAAAATGAGAAGAAACCTATAGGGGAGATATTTAAAGACTAAGAAAGGCTAGGAGACTTAAGAGACATACCAACCAATTGCCATGTATGAACCTTGTTTGAATTCCAATTTCTAACAAATAGCCTCTTCCATCTCGTTAAGAGGTAAATATTCAGTAGTTTTACTTTTCATGTTTAATAATTTTATTAACGTTTATATTATTATTTGTTAAATATCAATGGTAGAATTTTTAATACAAAACACTATGGGCACAATGAATAAAACTATTAATTTCAAATTTGATACATATTTTTGTTGCAGAGAAGTAAAGCAAAGTGTTCAAGAAAAGTCTTTTAAGCATGAAAATACATTTCATTAAGATAAAACCATATGGGGGAAGTAGAATATAAAGAATGCATTTATAAAGATAAAGAAATGTAAAATTTCAACAGCTTGTTTCTATATTTTTTAAAAACAGTGAGCTAGGCATCAAATTGTTATGATACTTAGATTCTGTGGATACATTTAAAAGAGTAATATAGACCAGGGGTGATGGCTCACGCCTGTAATCCCAGCACTTTGGGAAGCCGAGGCGGGTGGATCACTTGAGGCCAGGAGTTCGAGACCAGCCTGGCCAATATGGTGAAAAAAAATTATCTGGGTTGGTGGTGCATGCCTGCAGTCACAGCTACTCAGGAGGCTGAGGTGGGAGAATTGCTTGAATCCAGGAGGTGGAAGTTGCGGTGAGCTGAGATTTCACCACTGCACTTCAGCCTGGGTGACAGAGCAAGACTCCATCTCAAAAATTAAAAAATTAAAAATAAAAGAATGATATAACAGTAGAAATGTGCCATAAATTGTGTCCTTCATAACTGTCAAGCAAGCCAGAAATTGTGTCCTTTGTAACTGTTACAACTTGTGATTTTAAAAATGTAGATGCTACCTTAAAAGTAGTGACAGGGTCTATAGTTTCAAAATTCTTTCAGGGGAATCTAAGAAAAAGAGATGAAAAATCCTTGCTGAATCCACTAATGCTCAACAATTTTTTTGGACTTGAGTTCGTTTTCTTGCATCAATACCTATCTACTCTCCTCAGAATGCATTTTAGGAAGAAAAGCTTATATACTCTAAAAGTCTTTAATTGCTACAGTGGTACCAAGAGGCTTGTGCTTCTTAGCATCATTCATTCATTATTCATTTACTTAATACAATTCAGTTAAGCAGATACTAGGTTCAAAACCTGTGCCAGGTCCCAGAGAAATACCCACTGGAATCAGGTACAGATCCTCCTGTTGAAGAGCCTAGCAATGATCAAATTCTTAAGCTCTGCCCTTTTGTTAATGCAGTCAGATAAGCCCAGTGAGACTCTTGCAGTAGCCTCCTGAAAATGGAAATGATCTTAAGAGGGTCTTGCACAACCATTATTGAAAATGAGTAAAAACTAAAAAATAATATTTTTTAGTTTAGAACAACTAAAAAAGGTATATTCCAAAATTGTCATTGTACTCTTAATTGAAATTGCTTCTTGGTTCTCTGGTGGCACCTCTGGAAAGACGAACTAGAAGCCAATTTATAAAGAGGTCAGTGTCAGAGAAGCCATCCTTATTACTGGTAGGAAAAAAAAAACCTCAAGTAGAACAGGCTACGAAGTGATATTAATAACTCAGATCTGTCACTGCATGCCCCTAGACTTTGGAAATGCCCCAAAGATTATGTGTACATGGAGTTCTGATCTGAATATGATTTATCTATAGCAGTCTGACCAGCTCTGTTGAACAGAGTCAGCTATATTTTTGGGGGCTTAGAAGATGACATTAATATTGCCCATATTTATCACTGTGAGGAGATATGGAGTTGCAAGCTGCAATTCTGAGTTCTGTGGGTACAGAGTCACAAGTGTATACTGTTTTCCGATGTGTGAATGATGCATGTGTTAAACCCAGCAAGCTTTTTTTTAAGGAAGTTTTTACTCTTCGATGTATTTCTATCTACCTGCCTTCCTTTACCCTACACAAACTCACACACTCATCTGTCCATTCTTACAGAAAATAATCTCTTCTTTGATTATTCAGAGAAAAACCCCTGTGTGACTAGGACGGTGAGGATGCAAAAGTCACTATTTCTTACTGAGCAATACTCCAGGCCTGACTCCTCTGGGGGTACATCAACAGGACGCAGTTCCACAACTTTGTTTTTTATTCGTTTTGTGTGTTGTTTTGTTTTGTTCTTAGTAATCAGAAGAGCAATCGCCCACCCATCCACTCAGCGATTACTTAAAACATCAAGAAGGGATCTAGCCCACTGTTCTCAGTGATGGGCTCTAGGCATGATAAACCAGGCATTTCTGCTTGTCAACATTATTCACTCACTCTTTCAACAAATGCTTATTGACCACCTGTGGTATGCAAAGCCGTGGGCCAAGCATTAGGGAGAACAGTCTGTATTTCACAGATTCTGAAACAGTTATTTTTCAACATTTGAATGTCTCTGAATTTGGGGAGTTTACTTGGCAAGGCTTTTTTTCTTTCTTAGTGATACCTAAAGCAATGCTGTCTTACAATCAATGGCCTCTCAGATTTGATAAAATACTACATTGTCCATGACATCTCTGCTTTCACCAAAAAAGGGATTATACAGAATAAGAGGAGGTAAAACTCAGCTATCAGTGGGCTTTTCACTGATCGTCAACTTTTAGAGCAAGAGAAGTCTGAGCTTCTGTGGTCTGAAGATGATCTGTGTATTTCATTTCCTCGTGCCCTCCCTGGCTTTACAAGCTGTCATAACTTCACATGGATTACCTATTATTATCCTATACTTCTTAAAATCTCAAATGACTTTTTTATTGAAGTTGTGTGTGTGTGTGTGTGTGTGTGTGTGTGTGGTGCTTTCTACAAAATAATTCATTAGGAAATTGATTTTTCATCCATTATTGAAGCCATAATTTGAGGAGACTGTTTCTTAGAACATATCTACCACATGCCAGTGGAAACTAGTTAAAATATTTTTATTAAAGCAAAATAAAGGTTATTTTTGTTGTTTTTGTTTTCCCTTTATTCATCCAAACGTTTACAAACTCCCTATGATGCATCAGACACTGTTAAGTACTGTTGGGAGACAGTGACAAATTGGATACAGTTTTTGCCTTCAAAGGACTTAAAATTAAAGGAAGGGTAAAACCTATAACTACCAATGCTCATATAAGGAAGAATGAGTGAGTCCTGAGGCCAAGATCCAAGAATATCTGAACGAAATCTGCATCATTCCATGGCACTACATCTACCATTAAATATCACAAAACAAAAGCTGTTCTTCCTTTCCCCGGACACACGGCTGCATCAGGTCTACCCAGGTAGACCACAGAATGATGAACCGAAACAGCCCTTCTGTGGTTGATATACAGAGACAACTCCCATCCCCTGGTGGATAGAAAGGACCACATATTTTGAAAACTTTACAATAAGCCAAGTGTTCCATGCCTCACACACCTGCTGTCATTGGTTTCCACCCACTGATCCGTGTTACCACTGTGGTGGTTTCTACACACTGATTGGTATTTCTACCCAGTAGTCAAGGTGTTCCCCTGTTCTCCTTCCATAATGTTTTGTACCCTTTCACCCCTGCTCAGCTTCTCCCAGACCCCACCCTCTCGACTTTTTAAACTGGCTTTCAGAGTCTTTCATCTTTAATTCCCTTGTAAAATGCTCCCTCTCCTTTGTTTGAACTATAAGCTCTTTGAGGACAGGAACCAAGCCTGGATGATACAGAGCAGACAATGAAAATACGTTTTGCTTTGTCAAGGAAGGATGATAAAGAAGAGAAAATAGCTTCTCTTCTTGAATACAGGAGTTTAGGAAACTGAAAAAAGCTTTGACACACCCACAGAGCAGCATGTTTTACCAAAGAAGGCTGAAGAAGTTCAATCCTGGGTTTCCTCTCCTGGAACTGTCTGAGACCAGTGAACCTTAATCTTCTTTTTTGTCCCAGCACACATGACAGTTGATAGTCACATGAATAATAGATTGTTGTGAGCAAAGTCAATTTATCTGGAATTCTCACATGATTGACTTTCAAACCACCCTTCTGTCTTACTTGCTATGCAAGTGATTAAAAGTGAATCTAATAAAGAGATAATATTGAATCCATTCTAATCTATGGGGGAAAAGTAAACCCACTTGCAGATTTTGCCATTTCATATTTAGTAACATGCTTCTTGAGACAAACCAGTCTGTGGATGCTCCAACGTTGTCTTCAGCCCCTGGCCTGGCACACCCTCAGGACAGCTTAGCTTGCTGGCCACCTCCTGCTCCAAGACCCAGAAGTCAGAATCCACAGCAACAGGAGCTCTTCCCACATCTGGGACCCAGAAATGGTTCTACTTTCTTCTTTCAGTGCATAAAGGATCTGTAAACAAAAGGAACAAAAGAAAAGCGGAAACATTATCAACATGAAAAGAAAACCATCCATTCTAAATATGTCCATTTATTTCAAAACAAAGCACACAAACATGAAGCTTTATTTCTAGTATATCCAGGTTTATGGTGCCTAATTTGTAGAGTATCCCATCTTGGGGGGCCAGCTTTTATAACATTTGTTGAGTAAAATTAACTGACTCATGATTTTTCTTCTAGTGATGATCTGAATATGATTTATCTATAGCAGTCTGATTTATTTAATAAATAATAGCAGCCTGTCTATTTAATAAATCGTTGCATCATGTCAAGGGCTTCTGCCTGGACTTGAAGGTCGCCCTTCATGAGGAGCCAATGCTTGTAGTGTATTTGAAACTCAAATTGAACTGGGTGTTTTGTGTTTTATCTGGAATCTTATCCCTAGAGACCGTTGCTTGGGATTCACCAAACACTATATCCACTACTTCTGATCACAAGGATTTGAAGAAATAAGTACTTAATAATGGTGGCACGTCAAGTATTGAGGATCCTATCAAGAAGAAGGATTGGGGGACCTCTTCACGTCTCAGAAATCACAATACAGGAGGGGGCTCTACTTTCTATATGGAAGGGGACCCACATCATCATAGGTGAGAAGAGAAGGCAGCAGCCAGCAACAAAATTAAAACCAGAGAGAAGCCAAACCCTTCAGGAACCACAGTGGGTACTGTCTTCTGGGCCGCGTACCGGGCCCCCTGTGCCACCCTTCCCTCCTGAGCGTCTGAGAAAGTCGACAATAAGACTGTAGTTCAGTGGTTTGAAAGCCATAATATTCTGACAGAGGCTCAATTTATGTTCAGCATTTTTTCTTTTGCATCCCAGTCAGGACTTTCACTCAAGTTCTCTTAAAGGAAGGTAAATATTTACAGGAGGAAAATGGCACTAGGTGCCTTGATAAGCTCAAAAAAAAAAAAAAAAAAAAAAAAAAGTTAAATTGGGGGGGGAATTTTTTTTTTTTTTTTTTTTTTTTTGGAAACCGAGTTTCACTCTTGTTGCCCAGGCTGGAGTGCAATGGCACGACCTTGGCTCACCGCAACCTCCACCTCCCGGGTTCAAGCAATTCTCTTGCCTCAGCCTCCCAAGTAGCTGGGATTACAGGCATGCACCACCACGCCCAGCTAATTTTGTATTTTTAGTAGAGACGCGGTTTTTCCAAGTTGGTCAGTCTGGTCTCAAACTTCTGACCTCAGGTGATCTGCCTGCCTCAGCCTCCCAAAGTGCTGGGTTTACAGGCGTGAGCCACCGCGCCCAGCCCACGTGTGGAACATTTAATCACCATATCTGGAATATATAAACATGGTATATATTATCTTTGCCACCCCCTGCTTTTTTGTAGCCTCAAAATTTGATCCAAGACTGGGAGTTAAAAAGTCCCATTTTGTGTAATCAGGTTCTGGTTGAACATGATTGCTGAATTATTTTAAATTAAAGACATATGTTTGGGGGTTGAGCTGTATGTATTATTTCAGGATGGTGTCCATTAGGTCTTATCCACAGGGGCTATCTTCAACTTTTGCCACATTCAATGCATTCTTTATACATCAGTATTTTCAAAATGGTGAATCATATGTAAGGGAAAATTGGAGGGAATATGGTACTCGTTAAATGGTGATTTTTTTGAAAATTATCTTGAATGCATTATTCAAACCTGTTTCCAGTCTCCCCTGCTAAGGGCCCACTGTTGGTTGGAAAAGTTCTGTGGGGGGAGAAAAAAGAATATTTTAAAGTCAATAACAATGGATAAATAAATAAAATCCTACAGTTGTGCAAGGCCCTTTTGCAAGCCTAAATCTTTGAAGACTTCATAACTGAATCAACATTTACTTTAACTCCTTGTCAGCCCTAAACACTTTAAATGTCTTAATTGCAGATCTAAATCATTGTGGCTGCCATCGGTTTTTCACTCTGAATGCAGATGTCCCTGAACTGAGGCTTTGTCAGGCTTCACCTCGTAAGGGCAGCCTGTCTATTTAATAAATCGTTGCATCATGTCAAGGGCTTCTGCCTGGACTTGAAGGTCGCCCTTCATGAGGAGCAGTCAGGGTGAGGGAAACTGTACTGCTGAGTTCGTCTGTTGGCCCAACCACAGCAGACATCCCTCTACTCCAAAGATCTCCTTCCTGCTACAGCTAGCGCATCTGCTGCATGGTTATTCATTTGCACAGCTTTATGGAGGTACTATTTACATACGATAAAACTCACTCTTTTGAAGTCAAAACTCCATGATTTTTTTCATAAATATTCGGAGTTGTGCAACCATCACTGCAATCTAATTTTAGAGCAATTCCATCACCCCCGAAATAAACCTCGTGCCCATTTGCAGTCACTCCCTCTTCCCACCTCTGGCCCATGGCAGTCACTAATTTTTCTGTCTCTTATAGATTTGCTTTTTCTGGACATTTTATATACATGGAATCATACAATATGTGATCTGACCTTTTTCACTTTGCATAACTTTGAGATGTGTTCACGTATCATGTAGCAATACTTTTTTTCATTGCAAGTAATATTCCATTGTGTAGATATACCATATTTTGCTCACCCAGGCATCCACCGATAGACATTCATTTGGGTCACTTCCACTTTGCAGCTGTTATGAAACAACCTTCTGTGAACATATGGGTATTTTTTAATGAATCGAAGGTCAGATTGCTATCGTCATTCGCAGTCAACTTTAAGTTGAGATTACTCTTTTTTCAAGAAGTTACCCATATTTTTGTTAAAGCTGCCTATTGGAACATTCCAGAATAAAGTAGACTCTTGAGTGCTTCAAAAAATATTATTTGTCAGAGTGAGACCTTCGGTGATTCCAGGGCATGAAGTGGTTAAACATAAGGGAGGGAACCATTGGAAGGAAGTTTCAAGACCAAAAGCGATTTGAAGAGCAGCAGGAACCCCTTCTATGCCAGTCATGACCCAGAGTCTAAAGAGCTCAGACCCACATGCGCCTGCCACGCAAGTATTCCTTCTGGCAGCCTCAGCACTGCCTGACTTCTGAAAGCCCTGCTGACTTAAATAACGTGGGAGCTACTCAGGGAGAAGTCAAGTTGGAAGTGGCAGGGGAGGTGAACAGGTCATAACACAGGGAACAGAGTTGTCAGGTTTTGTTTATTTTCATGTCTTCTAAGACTTCAGCGACTGATAGGAGAGGCCGACCATTCTTCCATCGAGGAAGGAGTGTTGTACTTGATGCGGAAGCAGCTAGATCAAAAGGCGCCCTTCTACGTTGCCCCAAATCACCCATCTAGAGCCATGAAAAATCCGTGTTATGAGAAATCCTTTCCCCAGAAATCATCAAGGAAAGCAGGCATATAAGAAGCAAGCTGGTTTAGGAAATGTGATGTTGATCAAAAGGAAAGCCCCGTGTCCTGGGCCTGGCACAGCTCTAACTCTGACTGTGGCCTTGGGCAGGTCACTCACCACTCTGGGCCTCAGCTTCCTCATTGTGAAATGAGGGAGACTGACATCTGGATTTGTGCCTGAGGCTTTTTTCCCACATCCAATATTCTGTTTCTCTGACGACAGTGAAAACTGATACTTTTGAAACCCATATTTAAAAGTGAAACCAGTATCATCATCCCGTTTGCAATCAAGCTACTGATGTCAAGAGGCATGACCTGGAACGCCAACTGGTGAATAATTAGCGTGAGGAACACAAGGTTTTAAAAATGCTTCCCAGTGGCACCCCTACTCTCTTTTGCAGATAGAAAGATTGTGGTTGATTTTTTTACGTATTATCTTGCAGGTTGTTTAGCTTCTTTGTGTCGGAGTTAGGAATTGACCCAACATTTTAGGGCTTCCAGACCTTTACTGTATCAATCAGATTGCCTAGGAGAAAAGAAAACAATCATTCAAGAGCCTGTATAAAATAAGCCGGCATTAAAAAAAGAAAGAAAGAAAAGAAACTCTGACCTTCTAGCCAAAAACAAAAAGTCGTATTTTTCTTGTTTTTACTTTATGATTTAGGTTCTTATTGGAATGATGAGATCCTGTTGGAGAAAGAGGATGAAGGGTGGTTACAGTCTGATAATAAATGATGAGGCTGATGGACTCCCAAGAAGAAAGAATGTTCCTGTTGAGAAGAACGTCAGCATGTCTCTTCCTCCCTTTTTCTCAGTTGCTTATGTTCTCTCTTGCCCGTGGAGCGATCTGACATCTCTTGGCCAGGCTCTCAGACACATAGCCAGCTTCCGAGGGCTTAACATGCTTTCATTAGGACTTTCAAGTACATATCTTGCTGGAAGCCAACAATCTCGGTACACTTCCCCATGGCAACAACCAGCGTTGGAGTTCACAGGGACGCCTGCTCCTTTGAACTCCATAAAGAGTATTCCAGAGCCCTGGATTTTGACTGTCCTCCAAAGCCAGTGGCCAGCCTGGTAGTGAAGGAAATCTGGGGACAGATGGTATGAAATTGAAATCACATAATTGCTACCCTCTCCCAAATACTGGCCTATTATGTTGGCGAGTCTCCACAAAGCTCTGTGGCACTCATGCTGGTCTTGCTGGAGGGCTGCATCTTAAACATGGGTGCCTGAACATCAGGGCTGATGAAGAGCTGGCCCTTTAAGAGGAACTGCATCAATGTCGTGTGGTCCCTCCGTGACCATCAGATCCACATGTACATTTGAAGAAGTCCTCATGCCACTGGATCAATGACAAGGTCTCTTTCAACTTAGACCCATCTGTTGTTGAAAAACTACTGTATTTGTGAGAAGCCATTCTGAGGTGGAAAGGGAGCCTGATCTTTGGGGGAAAACATGGCTACAGGGGTTCTTTCCTCTGAAAATCTGTAAATGTAGCTAAAAGTTACTTCAGGAGAAAAACTCATCAGTAGCAAGCACTTGGCATCATGGAAAGATCCCGACATCCTCTTTTGATTTACTGTAGATGTCTGGTAATCTCTCTTTGCTTCCCCTCTCTCATTGTAAGATAGAAATGGTCAGGGTTCGT